CAAGAGTTCCTAATCATGCACCACGGTGAGCCAGCAGTCCTCGGTCCACGGAAATAATCTAGCTACATTTGTGGCCTCATCCAGCGACAGTATGCATCCTCGATGGGAACTATAGGCTTCTCCTGAGAGCCAATCACAGCAAGAAGTGCTTTCGCCACAACAGGTCCCGGCATGATGAAGTTGGCAAAGATTTGTTGGTTGTGCAATGTAGATGAGGGGGAGAAAGTAGGCTGTCCTCGTTGGTTTTTTATCGTGATTGTGCATGCCCTCCATGTACAGACCAGCAACGTTGCTCTATCACGACGATCACTGTGAACAACAACTTGAGGATCATTACATACACAAATTCAATGAAGTAGCCTGTAGTCTGTGACACAGAAAAGGCTCACAAAGTTTGGGAAAAATACGCACAGCAACGACCATGAATTTAGACAAATGTAATGTCTATTCACCGATTTTAAGGTCTGATCGGTGTCTCCGGATAAATCACTCTTCATTATTTGCACTTGCCTGGGCATCTCAGGCGAGGACCTAGGAGAGCCGCAGCATGTTGTGACACTGCCACCAGGGGCATGGAAATGTGCTGCTACAGCTCTTGGGACCAGTTGCGCTATGACACTGCTATCAAGTGGCATGGAAACATCTTGGGTGACCTACCGTGGTGTGACACTGCCACCATCGGTCTTGTCAGTAGCATCATGTGTGCGCTCAAGGGCAGGAACTTACTAAGACCTTTTTGGGTTCGTGGGAAATGGTTGGTTAGTCCTGTGCCTATGTTTAATGTCCAACATCTCTTCTTCTTATCATCCCATCATCCTCCCGCCCTTCCCGCTCGTTGCTCTCGCTGCCACCACCACCGCTTAAAGCTTCAAAACACCCAAAGCTAATGCACTGAACAACGCACTCGACACACACGCCGCCAATGTGGGGTTTCTGCACGCAAGATATGAGGTGGAGGAATGGTGGGCTGCATGCCTGCCCAGGTTCTTTTCCTTTCTTGTTTTGGCGACAATCCACCCCCTCTTTGCTCCCAGTAACCAGCGCACTTGCATCGGTCTGCACCAGGAGCCTCATTTTGTCTTTTTCATTACCAATTTAATTTTTGGTCCTGTTTCAGGTTCTGCTTAAGAGCTTGAACATGCTTGTTTTCAAGCTCTTATTCTCTTTTCCTTCTCCCCACATTGTGCCAGTTGATTGCATTGGTTGGACTCTGGTGTGCGCTTCATTCTGGCAATCGTTGATCAGTGCCAAGTGGATACGCTGGTGTAGCACATGGAGGCCGAGGTAAGCCCTGCCTTCAGGCACTTTTTCCCTCCCTCCCCCCACTCATATATGCTAACACGAGCACACAGTTTTGTAGCCTGCGCACGCATACCCACCACAGGCTGACCTGTACTCAAGGTGAGTATCCCCGTACGTCGCTGATCGTTGCATGTTCAAACCAGTTGTTAGGGTGACTGAACCCTCAACTATTTACCCTAGTGTGAATGGTGTGCTAAAGCTTGCTTGCGGCTCAGGGATCAGGCCCACACGTGAACACCTGTGGGTCCTCCAGGCCACCCTTGAGCAATATTACATCCGGTCCCTCAACGAGGAACACGACACCCTCTGCACCGCCACGCTCAAGCACCTACTTGAGTACCCTAGAACAGACACATCTGAGAACCACATCAAGCGTAAACTGCAGACCGAGGTCATAGACCGGTAGATATAGAAATCAAGGGTGCACACATTGAGGAGGAAGCCGACGACTTTATTTAACAATGCCGTTTCCCGTGCTCTCATTCATTCATATGTGCCTCGTTCGATTGCACTACTCTTCGTGTTCGTTTGCACTCATTTGCTCAGCTCTGCGCTGTACAAAATTCCACCACACCATGAACGCTCTCCTAAATGTGTCCATCCACATCCGTCCATAGGATGCGATATCAATAACTGTGCCGATCACGTTAAATCGTCGGAGCTGCTGAACCGCTGTACTTTACAATGATATCAAATGTAACATGACGATCTTTATGAATGCAATGGCTTTTGGATGTGTGTGTAGCCACAAAAACACCCAAACCAACCGGCGATGCCAAACCAAGTACGGTGACCAGCACAGCATATCTGTTCAATTTTGGGCAGTTTTCAGGTGGTTTTTGAGGTGTCTTGGTCTATTGGCTTGTTCAATTTTTTTCGCAGTCTACCAGATGAGTATAGCTCTGGTTGATGAAAATGTCTTGAAATTCATGAGAAAATGCCGACAAAATGCACCAAAAATGTGTGATATATTCATCTTCTGGTTGCCTCTACCACAGGCTGCACCCTGGGCACACATACTCTTTACAACCTATGGACTCATCAACTTGCAGCATCTCTAGCAACATCTCTGCTCCCTAACACCTCCTATTGCTCAAACTACTTGGCCCCAACATGAATCTGAAGATCAACATCATCTGGCCTAAGGATGCCTACAAGACCAAGCCTGACAAGAAGTATGAGGCAGAAGAGTGTATCAGATGCTGGATTAGATGGAGATATGAGCATGTTGGGTGTAGAGAGCTTTGGGTGGTGGCTGGGTGAGTGTTTCTGTTCAATGTCAGATCTTTGAGCATATATGATGGATTGGCTCCCCAGAACTGATCATTCAGTATCCAACCAGCTCCAGAAGATGAAGACTTCCCACTTCACTGCTGAAATCACCGACTTCAAGTGCTGCCACGTTCACTACGAACATCGCATTCACATTCCCTTTGTCTTGATTTGTCGAACGGTGTGTCGCTTCTGCAAACTCGTTAACGCAATCCTGACCGTATTACAGCGTTCCAGCTATTAGATACCATGTATTACTCCTCCAATCACTATTTCCCACCCCCGCGTCTCTCTTTCCGCTTGTTCCGCGCTTGCTACGTTGTACGTTTACCGTGTATCAATGTCAAGATCGGATGCAAACAAAGAGGAACAAGGTCGGAGGACCGAAGTCCAAAACGTATATACAAAGAATAGAATGAAAGAAAAAGGGGAACTCAAAGGTAGAGTCGGAGAGGAGTCGGAGATGCATTGGAGACGCGTCGGTGTTGAGTCAATAAGTCGGAAGTGCTGGTGAAGTCAAGATCGGATGCGGACCAAGCCTAAGCTCGTGCACTAGGCTGCTACGCGCTCTGAGTCCACAGGAGAGAGAGGATGAAGCTTAGTCGATATTCAAACTGACTATCTACGGTACAGTTGGACGGTTTATATATATAAAATAGAACAATGGCGAAGTCGGAGATGCAGAGATCGGAGGCACCGTTCAGCGCACAAAGGAAACATACGGAAACGAGAGATAACACATGGGACACAAAGGGAACATATCTAAGGAAGAGATGGAAAGGATGGGCCAAAGGATCCGTCGCAAGCGACGGGAAACTATGATGTCAAACAAAGGGAACAGGAATCAGGAAAGTTGGAGTTGAATCCGTTCAAAGATCTGGAACCACCGGGACGTTGAGCCGCCGGTGGCCCAGTGCATGTGATAGACGTATCCTGCCCTTGGCTGAAACAGGAAAGGCAGGATCGGAGTCGGCGAAGAAGTTGGCAAAGAGTTGGAGAACGGATCGGAGAAGATCGGTGCGGATCGGTGTCAATCGGCAGAGCAGATTGGTGTAGATCGGTCTAGATTAACACATGACAATTGAACATTGTCGTTGACTTTCTTGAAACGCACTCGTTTTTGATTTGGATGCAAAGATACGAGTCTATGCACCCTGCGCATCCTATCGAATGTCTTGCATCTCACAAAGAACCTCACGGATGTACTTGTATGTTGCAAACACAATGTCATACAAATTTGAACTTTGACGTCCGCGCTGTGCCACGCTGTATACTGGCGACTGATCCACACAATTGGCTTTGTCTGCCGGCCGCTGATCTGCTAGTCGGCTTTGTCTGCCGTTTTGTTTTTTGTTGTGGGGGAGTTGGACATGGCACTTGGCACCCCTTTACTCACGTACACACCCAACCAGGCAAACAGTGGAGACCAGCAAACCAGTTGGCCGCCAGATTCCGCTGTTCATGCCCCCCACTGGACGCACACCAGCACGTCAGGTGGATCCCAGGATCGCAATATCCACTGCCGGATTTGGGTGGGTTCTTCTAGAAATGGTATATGGTTCCCATGCACATAACTCGCGGCATTACACTCAAAATCTACTGGTAGGACATGCAAACAGCGTGCCATTGCCTGACGTGATGACGGACGGGCATGATATATATACTATAATTGTCAGGGACGAAACTGTGGGGCAAAAATATCGGAAATGCGGAAGTCCAATGTGTGGGAAAAGTGGAGATGAACGATACCGAAGCTGAACGGGTCTGGGACAAGTGGACCTAAGTCCAACGTGCAGGGGCGTACTGCCCAGCCCACAACACAGAGTTGGGTGGATGCGATTCAGAGACAATATTGAGAAAAGTGGTATGCTGACGTTGGAGCAAAGTCAGAGCAAAGCGGGGCAGAGGCAGACTTGACCCGAAGGGTCACTACACACTCGAGGTCTGCTTAGGAGCAAAGGGGAAAGCCTAGTCAATATTGGAACTGAGCAATATCGTACAGACAAGCTGGTATAAGTACTAAGCAGAACAATGGAAAAGTCGGAGATGAATCTATCATCAGTAAGACAAAGGGAACAGGGAAGAAGAACTAAAGTACATGTGGAACACAAAGGGAATCAGTGCCAAGGAAAACGAGCACAAGGAAGAAGAATATGGTGTGAGAATGAGCAAGGATGAACAAAGGGAACATAAGGGAGTCAAAGATATGAAAAGTCCGCCGGAGATCCGTCGGAGGACCGTAGGAAAATGAGCGGCGAAGAGCAGAGGAGGTGTCAGAGGACAGTCAGGGATAGTAGGCAATGGTTGGCGATGATTGACCCATGACAATAATCATAGATGAAGATGTATCTATGCTATCTCATGATACATTGTTGTTGGTAGGCCTTGCGGTCTGCGAGGTCATCATCGATGATGGCACGAGCATCATCAATGGCACTGATATGGGCATCGACGACAGTGCAGGAATGGTCAACTGCAAGGGCACGGTCAACTGCAATGGCACGGTCAACTGCGAGGGAATGTTCAACTGCGCAGTCATGGTTGACTGGGCCAGCATTGTCAACTGCGTGGTCATGGTTGACTGGGCTGGCATCATCAACTGGGCGGGCATTGCGGAATGGACAGGCATTGCAGACTGGGCAGGCGTTGTCATGGTTGACTGCACGGGCATTGTTGACTGCGAGGCTGTTGTTGTGGCATCAATCTCCTGTGACAAAACAAAGTCGCAGAGGACAGTGGCTTTTGGGTACCTGGCCTTGTCCTTGCGTACCATCTCTTCATCCCATCTACAGCATCACTTTAGAAGAGCTGTATAACGAGCGTAAGGAATAGCTTACTGTGCCCAGAGTGGCTTAAGAGTTTTCACCATGTGCTCAACCAACCCCTGGCCGTCTGTGCTCAGGACCTGCGACTTTGATATGAAGTACCGGTGCCCCAGCTTTGCGTAGAGTCGATCGAGTTCATCCTCCAGCTTTTCCCAGAAACCTGTCGTCCCGCCGCAGATTGGAGCTTTGGTATCGTCTTGAGCCTCCTTGGGTTCCACAGCCACATACAGCTCTCCAGTACCCATCCACGTTACAGGCAGCGAAGCCACCCATGGGTTGGCCTCCTCAACTTCCTTGGTGAGCGCAGCTGCTCGGCACGCCTTTTGACTCTTTGGTGCTTTGCTCTTTCATTTTGTTCTTGCTGACTGCACCAGCGGCTCGGCAATCGTTGTCTGCATGTGTAGAATGAGACACGTTCAGATTGAAAAATGATTGACCGACTATCAACACCAATACGGCAGCCGTGTCAGTTTGAAACACTGCCGGCGGTGCTCCTTGCCACCAGTTCTTCACGAATTCGGCAGTGAATTCTTTGATTGGGTCTTTAGATTCCACGCACCCAAAAATCTTACAAAGAAATCAGCGAGCACGAACAGCGGGAGAAAGAGTCTTTATAACATTTTTCCGCATGTTACTTTTGGTCTCCTTTGCCTTGCTAACAAGCTATTTGTCCACAATTGACTTGATGTATGGATCAGTTAAGTAGGCAGGGATGCGCCGCTGGGCACTTTGGTTGGTAAGGTAGTTTTAAACACTTTCAACGGCGCCCATCCATGTCCACTGCATTTTGACAAAATAATAATGGACACCTTGCCCAAGCATATGCTGCAGGAGACGAGGTCAGTTGATCCAAGTCAATGAAACAACATGCGCCTACCTCCTGGATTGGATTCAATTGAAAACTCGTGGCCACCATTTCCTTCACGTCTTTGAAGTCTCGTCGAAGGCTTTGGAGTTCATGGTGTAGACTGGCTGTTGCTGTTCTGGACGCGCAATGTTTGCTGTAGATCACTACGAGCTTCGACGAAAAGTCCATCTACCAGGTAAAGTGTCAGTTGATCTGCATCTGAGCAATCACATCGTGAAATACCTTTGCAAACTCATGCAGTCTGTTTCAGTCATCCTGCAAAAGCGTTAAAACATCAGCGATAGCATCAATGCTGCTTGCTTCAATATTGCGACTGTCTTGCATGTCGGAGTAGGTAGTAGCTGAATGACGGTTGGAGTCGACTTGGGTCAAGACAGGAGACGGGTTTGAGCTGATGTCGTAGTCTTGCGATGAATGATATGCCGGAATTGCGTAGGGTACACGACCTTTGTTCAGCTGGCGGGCAGTCCTGTGAATGAACGATGGTGTCAACGAGAGCTCTTGGGACATGCCCAGGTCCTGAGACATCCTGTGATAACCAAGGAGCCACGATTCGCGAAGAGACTCGTGTTCATGCAGATGTTGAGATGGTGGATGGCTCAATGTGGCACAAAAATTGTGTGTGACTCCAGAGCAGACGTTGTCACTGCTGTGGTGTCACAAGCAGACAACGGAAGCAAATGAATGAAATTCAAGAGCTCAGGCAGTGGATCAACACATTCATTCTAAGATAGTTGATATATGCGAGCACAACGAGAGACAAGTACAGGTCAGTGCCAATGCAAAGACAGAACAGAGTATAGTGAGAGCTGCCTGGAGCAATAATAGCATGACAGAGTGCAGAGAATGAGTTTTTGACAACAGAGCTGGTGTCAAGGAGAAAGTGCGAGGTGAACCTCCAGTGAGAGAGGTGATCTTTGCAGGCACCTTGCCAGCAGACACATCACGCGTTGTCAGCGGACGGAAGCATCCGCTGCTGAAACTGACGACATAGGGCAGGAGTACATATCCAGTGGCGTGGGAGTTTGACACACAGGCGCATAACCAGCGTGGCTCCACTGCGGACTCACACACACTGTTACTACCAACCCCTATCGACATGCAACCCCACTCTACCAACACCTCTGCAGAGCCGCCAATGGGTCAGCATAGCGATTGACCACCGCTCGTAGCTTACTGAACCAACTCAGGGTATTCATGGCTGCCAGGTGACTTCATCATCCCAGATAGCGCAGTGCAAGCTCCCGCACAAATGCTGTCTCCAGGGACCTGGAAGATGCGAGGGTCGGAGGTTACTACTAGGGACTGGGACGGTCTCATGTTATACATGGTGGATGGGCGGATGTGTTGTGCGGTATATGGGAAGGTTCGCGGTCCTATTGCAATGGGACGCCGATTTGCGGTCTACGCAGTAGAGCAGAAGACTCGGCGCTTCCACGGTGTTCGCTGGTACCCCCGTGGCTTTCCAGAGGAGACAGAAGTCATGATCCCCTTGCATGCAACCAATCTGCGGTTCTGGCAGCGGGTGTGGATCGCGCTCACTGGTGGATGGAGGACCATTGACACCACAGAGGAGGAAGGCCTGGGGACAGCCTAGAGTGCTTCTTTTAGGGACGGACCCTCAAAGGATAGGGAGGGACCCTCAAGGAACAAGGGAGCACCCTCAAAGAAGGGGGAGGACCAAAAAATAGAGGGTACACCCTAGAAATTTGGGGTAACCACCCTAGTTTATGGCAATACAGAATAATAGGGTGGTACCCTGTTCTTTTTAAGGGTGCAACCCTCTTCTGAATTTGAAATTAGTAGTAGTATATAAGGAGGCTGCCCCTCTTGTCCAACTGTATAAACCTGACCCCCCACTGAATCACAGAGCTCTCAGCAGTCACAAAGCAGTGTGATTATTGAGAACTAAGTGTATATCTGACTGAAGTATCTAAGAGTGAGGCTGAAATAGTCGAGGATTGGAATCTCATTATTCTCACCTATTCTGACTGTATCAAGCCGGACCTACACTACCCCAAAACAACTCCAGTAACAACTCATTTGACCTGAATCTATAGCCCCTTCAAAACTTGCACTGCGGACAGTGTCGACACTATCTTTACCCTGATAGCTTCACTCTTTCTGCTCTGACAGCGTCCCTCGGCATCCACCACCCTCGACCATTTCTGTATCTTCATACTTGCCCTCACAACCCGGTGTTTCTGACATTGATCCAGTTCGCTGGCGTTTGCTGTTCCGACCATATTGCGGTTGAGATTCCAGATACAAATCTGCCTGTGTGGCTGGCTTGCAAGGGTGCGTGGTCTTCAGAGATTGTGTTTCTGGTGTTGCTGGTATTTCGTTCCAACCCGGTGTTGATTCGAGCAGTACAAGCGGCCATGTTGGTGGTCCTGAGTATGGTTGGCCCTGTCCCCGACTTGCAATGCCAGACATGCCTGGCGGCAGGGCAAGAGTCGCTGATAGATGCGGCCCAGTCACTAACGGTGACTGACCGAAGCCGGTTGGGGTCATGAGTTGGATGGATGGCCTCTGACGTGGACGAGGTGGTGTTGCTACGTCTGATGTGTACGCAATCGGTGTCGCAATCGGAGTGCGCGGTGTGGCCAGACTCTGTGGTCGGTGCATTGACGCCGCTAACGGGGCATGAAGCTCAGCCATCAACAACGATCCCAAGCTGGTCAGGGTCATGGGTTGGATGGATGGCCTTCAACACAGACAAGATAGTGTCTCTGCGTCTGGCGCATACCCAGCCGGCATTGCAATTGGAGTGCGTGGTGTGGCTGGACTCCCTGGCTGCCACAGAGAAACTGCAGATGGGATCTTGGCAGCTGGCCCAGTGGCCTGTTTCTGACGTCAACACATCACAATCTCATCCAGAGCAGCAACATCTAACTCCTTCCTATGCTTGATTGCTCGTGATATGAGGAGTTCTTTATCCTCCAGGAGATGCTGAGGTGGATGTTGCAGATGCCGCATGAGTTGGCTGCTGCACAACTGGGCTGTATTGAAGAGGCAACAGTCCTTGTCACCAGTATATGCTACCTCAAGCTTCCAAAAAGCGGTTTCCCTTCTCTCTTGGATGATAACCTTGGTTTTGGATGTCTGGCATTTGTATTTGGCACAGTCATGAAATGTGTTTATGGCGCATAGAATCCGCTGTCATAATAGTGAGTTCGCGTCAATACTGAGAAACTGACTAGAACTGACCTCAAAAGGCAGAAACTCGAAGGCTTCTCTCACAGGTATGATCTTTGGCATTCGGTAGGTCAAAGACATACCATGGAGCTCATACCTGTTCACCAGCATACCAAGTACCAGATTTCGTGCTGCATTGACCAAGATCTCTACCACCTTCCCAACGCGAGGCAAGGGTGACTGCTCCCGTGGTTGGTAGAGCACAAATTTGCCCAGCTGCACAACATCTTGATTATCAAGCCATAGGGTCTTGCATAGAAGTACCGATGATGCAAACGACACAACGGAGATGATGCCATGCTTGGTGGTAGCAGTTTCGCTCGCGGCCACCAAGCTCTCTCCACCCAGTGCCGTCCAACATCCTAGGTAAGTATTTGAGCCCCACCGCTTCAGTCAAAATGATTAGCCATCATTTGGCGAAACTCAGGATCTTGAAGCAGGGTCCGGACGCCCATGCCTGCCGCCGGTGAGAAAGGCATTTGTCATTGGCATCTTGTGTAACATATCCTCCACTAATCAAGTGTTGGACAGCATGCATATGGCTAAACACCTCAGCAATATCTCTACTTGGTGCTTGTCTGTTTGAATGGACGCTGCGCAACCAAATCACAGCATTGAAAGATTCAAACGACTCTGTGGCATAAAGTATTGCAGGCCCAAAGTGGCGGATATATGATGGTAAGTGGACGAATAGGTGGAATTTCAGTTTGTTAAACCATTGCGTGTTCCAGAGGGTGGTTGTGATTTTGGACTTTGTCCGTGCCATACCTGCCTGAAGAAACATATCAGAGGCCAGAAATGTCGAGTAAGGGAATGAGCTGAACCATCACGAAGTCTGATATTTGTTCCTTCCCTCCAGCATCACCTGGTGCCCAACCGGGAACTCCGGCTTTTCCAACATGGCAGATCCAGCAGAAGTACTTGCCGGTCATGCCAACATGCAAACAGAACTCGCTTGCCATAGGGTTATCTCCCTGCAATGCAAGTACCCAAGGAATTATCAAGATATCTTCCCCGTGCTTGCCCACAGAGCAATCCCAGGCATTGACTCCATTCTCGTGGGCCTTTGCAAGCAGCACCACAATCTCCTCCATCATCTCAAGCGGGGCGGCCAAGTTTGATGTCGACAGGAAATGGATGTTATAGCCTTGTTGTACATGTTCACGTGGTAAGCCTCCAAGAGTCACAAGGATTGAGTTGTGCTTGTTCCACTTCTTGGAGATGTTGCCTGATGTGTCATTGCAATAGCACCAGATGGACATACCAAGAACCCGGTGTCCATTTGCCTTGAGCTGCCAAGGGTTGTGGATGGGCTTTGACCACTTTGTCAGTGTACGTTGCCCCTTTTCCTCCCGCAGAATCCCTGACAACATTGTCAAACCAGTTGCCAGGACATTTACAATGACGTACTGGCAATATTCTCTGGAGATGGCAAGCCATAAACCGAATGAACCATGGGATCCTGCAACTCAACAATGGAAAGAGAGAAGGCAGGGAGTGGACGTTCAAGTTCCATGGTTTCATCCACAACAAACTCCTGTGTGTCGGTGCGGATATTTGTAGGATTCACAGTTGCCCACAGGTTTCCATCCCACGTGAACCACCTGCGGATCATCACGACTGCCAGTGTGCCAAAGTCGTCAATGTTTGCCAGTGCCGGCTCATTGACAAAGAAGTCATGCCCAACGTTATTTCTTGCCATCGGTCCGCTACAATTTGGATCGACCTCATGGCGCCAACGGTTGCTTTGGCTGGATTCCCCACGCTGAGGACCACTGTCTTCTGTGTACCTGGTCACGTGCCGGGCACCCGAGGAGCCTCCCTCTCTCTCATTGGACCATCCCTCATGTTGCTCTGTTGCACCAGGGAGCAACTCAGACTTGTTCTCTCAGTTGCTTCCCTGCCTTGTGCGACAGGTATGTGTATTCATCTTGTATCTTTGTATATATTCTTAGTTGCTTCCCTACCTTGTGCGACAGCATCTCCACCGCTGTCCCGGGGGATCCGTGCCACTCCTAGGAGCTCCAGCGCGTACTCTGACAAGACATGTGAATGTGGAAAAGCTGACGTGATGTCCATAGTGCAGGTCTGGCACACCGGTGAGTAGGAGAATTGATGGTAACATATGCAGGACTGACTGTCTTGTCAAGATAGGTCCACCATTGCTCTGATTCAGCAACCTCAACATCAAGAACATCTTTGGCCATATCATCTGCCAATTCCGATGAGAATTTGTATGCATAACATCCTCTGCAACTCACCTAATCCCGACTCATGCATGTCGTCCCAGTCAGGACAAAACGGGCTTTCGTCTTCCGAATCCAATGCAAGTGACTCTGTTGGACTACTACCCATGCCCAAGTCCGCATCACACTCGTTGTCCATGCCATGAAAAGCAGGGGCAGTCATTTTTGTACGTGCCAGGATACCCAACCAGTTATCATATATCTGGTCGTCTGGATCATCTTTAATCGCAGGACCATGCACTGGTGTAAGGTTGTAGTCACCAGACCGTGGGATCATAAATGGCAGCGCAAATCCTCCATATCCATCAACACTGGGATCTGCAGGAGGTTCACAGGGAGACACTTCGACATCTGGGGCATGTGGCATGACAAGTTGGTTGTATTCTTCGCCCAGCACATCAGGGATTGTTGTACATGGATAAATAGGGCTTCTGGGGTGCAGCTGCGCATTGCGCATATGGAAAGGGCTGGAGGATTGCTGGTACAGGTTATCCCAAGCACTGACTTGACGGGTGTATGCAGCCGTATCTTCGTGTCGGATAGCCTTTGACAACAATAGCCAGGAGCTCCCAGTGCAAACCAAGCAGCGGTAGCGGGAACCCTGGCATTCTTGGCTGGTGTGGAAGACTGAATATCCCCAGTGAGTAATAATCTGAGGGTTTATTAATGCTACTGACACTCTGGATGCTCAAGAGGCATTGTGACGCCAGAATGCGAGAGCAATAGGTTGTGTCCCTGTCGAGCGGGTGCACCAGGCTTAGAGCATGCAAATGGGAGCTGCCTCCCCCCTTTTTCTGCCTTTTTCCGTTTTTCACCATCCGTCCTCATGCACCGCACCCCCCATCCTTCTCAAGTGCCCGCACAGCTGCAAATCCGCGAGTAAGTCTCTCTTGTGTCAATTTCTCTCCTATTTACTTAGCTCCACCAGTGTCATCGAAAATGATCAGGAACCGCTCAATTTGCAGGTCAGCAAGTTGTCGGCCCACACCCATGCAAAGAATCACTGTTCCGATACCTCTTCGCCAAAGCCAGTGGAGAGATACTCAAGTTCACCTTCGAATGTGCCCATCACCACTTCACCAAACCCTTTTGGCCTCAGGTTCACAACTAGTCAAGCTTGCAGCAAAGTAGAAGATTCCCAAGTGACCACGCAACAAGTACGTCTCTCTTGTTCTGATGTTCTCTTGTATTCACTCATCAACGAACCAGTTCTCAGGTCAGCAGCTCCCGATCATCAACAGTATGAAGAATCGTGATTCCGTTACCTCTTCACCTCAGATGTTCAAAGGATATTCAAGCTCACCAGGCTATGTTTTACCTATTGGTGCTACATCAGACATCTTTGGCTATGGATTCCAGGCAGGCCAACCTCACGAAAGTGCAGAAGACGACATTGGGTCAGAGTTCGAGTCTTACGTGACTCGGATGATTGGCAATGTATCCAGCATGTTGGTCGATACGGATCCAGCTACACCTTGTAACCATACATCAAGCAGGGTATGCGACGACAATGTTTAGCGTGCTAACACACGTGGCCGAAGGTATCGTATAGAGGATTCGTTGCACGAGTCTCCTACGCCAGTGGCATGGTCACAATCGGTACATACACATGATGCCCTGCCGCGGACACTTGCTGACCTGCACATTTGGTTCATAGGTGTTTGCATTGCCACCTCTACCTAATCGAATGACTGCGAATACTCACCCACATCTTTTGTCGGAGGCAAAGATTTCCATTCTGGAGGGCTGGATAGAGGAGCTTGAACATCAGGTGGCGTGCATCCCGGTGCTGGAGGCACAGTTGGCTAGTCTGTTTGGGACTTCAAACCATTCGTCACCCCTAGCGAGGATGCGTGCAGTGAACGACAGGAGGCCGGGGCCTGAATAGTTTTACAATCAGATTGAGTAATGTACATTCTTCAGATCATAATGTGTACACGGTTGGCTGTTATGTACACACCTAACCAATGTATGCGATGAGGAGCCAAAGATGAGCCCCCAACACGAGGAGGCCAAAGGCGAGTGTGGAGGAGAGCAGGCTGAACTGGTGGATAGCAAGCGCGTTGGACGTGGTGGACAACGAACTTCCTACACTTCCTCAGATGCCCGCCCTGGGGTGTATCGTATAGTTTCCATCCTGTGCACCATATGGATCCCAGGCAGCATGGTCACTCCCTGGATCCCAGTTACATCACTACCTTTTTTCCGGTTATCGGCATGGCCACTGGATTTCATTGGATCACACAGTGAAAAGCCATAACTTGCGCGCTGGGATCACGCCGGCGCAGGATCCTGGTAGATCACAGCAAACAAGCGGTTGGGCGTGTATTGTAGCACGTGCTTGCCGACACCGTATGCACAGCCACTTTGTGGATACACCTCGGATGACTGTAGCACACACTTGCCAACAACGTACACACAGCCACTGTGCAACAATGCGCAGTCTCTTGCTCGTCAACTGCGACCTCCTTGAGTGTCAAAAGACGATGCGGGTTTTCGTAGATGGCAGGCAGGGATGATTTTACATGATGTATCGGGTGCTACAATTTTCATAGATCCTATCAATTGGAAGCAAAAGAGATGGAGGAGATGCAGGTGTGGTAAGTAGCAATTCAAGTACATCTAAGCGAGAGCAGCCCGCTAATCACTTTATCGAGATGGCAGTACTAGTAGAGGCCCCCAATCTACACTCTTGCTCGCATTGCTAGTGCTAGCACCTTAAACACTGACAAGATATGCACACTCCTATGATAAACATTTGTTTTTGCGCAGTTCTAGCCTCAAAGAGGATTCTTGATTGTGTTGCATTGCTCGAAGCTTTTAGGTAACTGCTGAAATACAGGCTGATATGGGATATTTCATTTGACTTGGTGCATAGTGATGGGGAGTTACGTGCATCTTGCAGGAACAGCCACAGAACCCAGCAAAAATTTCAATGACAGTGGCGAGCTACATTGGGCTCAATGTGATCGATGGCATAGCTATAGCTGAAAATGCAAGAAAGCTAACTTGGGATACAGATACGCAAGGCTTGGATAATCGGGCACTATAGAAGTTCAGGAGCTTGGGAAAAAAATTGCGAAGTACATCTTGATTTGGATCGTGCCAATTGTGCTCCGAGTCCTCCACACAACAATTGAGGGTTGGCCGTATCGTCACCTCGGAATAGCATACATTAGGGAAGGTCTTTTACAGGAGGGAAATGTACACTCACTCGCTGGCAGCACACGGGACAGCTATATCACGGCATTGTACAATCATGCATTGCCGTGGACAAGACAAGGCGTAGCACGGAGGACAACATCATATTGCGTTGGATGTCCCCGGCCACATGTTGAAGGTTTAACAGAAGAGAGAAAGCATCAGACCCTTGGAGCCAGTGGATTTGCACTGGGTCGTAAACTGGTCGACCGCTGATCGTGCAATGCAGTTCAAGGTGTTTATTAAACCATGCGGCAACGCAGCCTTGACAGAAGGTGTGACCGCATGCAAGGCTGAAGTAAGCATGAGCTCACAGATTCCCTATAAAGTTGCAAGACCTACGTAACAGGATTCCGGAGGCGTTGCACGCAAACTTGCAATGGAGGTCGTCCTCAATCTCTGAAAGCCTCTGTTGAAGGGGTTGCAGGTGCTGACAAGCCTGCATCAGCTCATCCCGTGCTTATAGCAACATGTTTTGCGCGACATTAGCACGTTCCTGAGCCTGGACACTCTCCTCCTGCGCAATGGCTGCCGCTTTCTTGGCCTCGATGGCTTCATCCTTGGCTACCTCGAGCTGGGCGCTCATGTCCTTGAAGTCTTTCAGATGGAATGACGGCGGCTGAGAACATGTCAACAAACAATCACCACCTTGAGGGCAGTCGCAGGCCAACGGAGCTCACCGCATGCACGTCGTGAGTCCAGGGGCTCGAGGTCGAAGCCATGACAGTGGTGGAGACAGTAACTGCCTCAAAGCAAGAGCCTACAGACTGAGTAACACACGCTGTCGTACCCTCGTGGTCAATACATCAGTCAGGGCAAGCACACGCGGTGAGGTATCACATACCGCGTTGCCGGCACCGGAACCGGAGGAGATAATAAAATGGTAGCTTTTGTCCAAGGAGGCATTGGCCGTGTTGGCCACACTGTTGTTTGGAGGGGTGGACGCGGGACCAGGGCAAAAATCGTCCTCACAAATCGCGACGATTGACCAGCTGAGTGCGTTGACTGGGCGAGTACGAGGGTGGCGTCGGGCGCTCAGAGGGTTGCCCCTCACTCTGTGAGGTGCTGTAACATCACCATCGCAAGAGGTGGTGGGACCGCGGTGAGTGGTTCAAGATGCACCACGAACCTGTAAAGGGCACCGTGCTCGACTCAATCAATCAACAGGCATAGTCGATGGAGATCAAAATTCGTGCGATCAAGGCTTAGAAGGGATGGGATGATGGGAGTGTTCGATGCAATGAGCCAAAGTGAGGGTACACAGAGGCATATTGGAGCAATACTGAGCACACAAAAGAAAGCGATGGATAACAAAAGCCGCATCCAAAGACAAAAAGACATTTTCAGCTCACTGTACACGTCAATTCGTTGCACGTGCGACAGCGCCAGTCCCACGCCATTGAGGATGCTTTTCCCAAACCACTTTTTCCCCACTGAGATCTAGTGGTTGTGTTTGTAACACACCTACAGGGATTGATCACAGTACAATGGCAAGCCATCTTATTTTACTCAGCTTTTCTTATTGTGCCACGAATGGCTCAGGGAAAGCAAATTGTGAGTGCCAGAATGCCGCACTGACACCACATTAATATCGATGTGCCCTTCCCATGTTACTGAGCTTGCTTGCAAGCTCGGTTTCTCAACTCGAACTCAGCTACATCATTTTGTGTGAGGCCTTGATCTGATTGGTTGAATGGGCAATAAGTATAATATATGCAAACATTTACAATCACGGCCAACCGGCACTGAACGGACCGTACCTATGGTACAACACCCCCCATTCCAACTTATACTCGCCGTTCCTATACAACAGCCTCATTCCCTCTTCCTTCAACAAACCGAACACAGGGAATTTTTTGTAATATTTTCGGCAGATATAGCTAAGTAAATAGGTTAAGAAATAGATTTTGTATATACTTAGCTATTTTCGCGGTATATTTACCGCTTATATTCTTAGTATTCAGCAAAGGAAATAGTTTTTCTATTTATTTTTCTATTTTCGGCGGAAATTGATGGTCAATTTCGTCCGGAAACAGGGAAAGAAACAGAAAAACTATTTCCGAGGGAAACGGGTAACGGGCGCTGAGCGGGCGATGAGCGGGCCGCTGAGCGCCCGGCCCTCGGGCCGAACAGCTCCTTCGGACTTAGGCGGGGGGCGAGGCTCTGGACTGAGGGCCGCGAAGAGCGCCCGGCAAGGACCGATGGGCCACGGCGAGGATCGGGCGGCGGTGCAGCCACGCGAGCGGTGCAGCGCCCGTGCGTGAGA